GTTTCAGTCTTTTTAGTGTTAATGAGTCATAAAATTCTACTATATAAATATTAACTTAAAGCATGAGATTATCTGATAAAGTGAACATAATTAGAAACGAACTTCGCATAGAAGAAAATAAAAAACGATGGGTAATCGAGTCCATCTGGACGTAAAAGAGCAATCAGTCTGGCGATCAGGTTTTCATTTTCCCTGAAACGTATGATTCTCGTCAGTTAAAAAACGTTGCTGGTCTCGCACCGATGATCTCGTTCGACCACCAAAGCCTGCGTCGATTACGCACTTTCCCAACTTTCTTCTATCGATACTAACTACTTCTGTTTCACGGCGCAAACACGATAAAAATCGTTTTTCCCGTTAGTGATTCTAATGATTGTTATTTCAAGTATTCTCGAGAAAGAATTAATTCATCGGACCTTGACTGCGCTCCTGAGACGAATCTTCATCACGTCATCTCGCGGTAGATTTAAATAGAAATCCGTGACTCACGTCTCCTGCCTTTCTTTTCAAATCCCGGACGTCACCGCGAAGACATCCGGTATGAACTAACTGACAGGAAAACGTTCAATTATCCAGGGACTTAATTCGCTAAATACATCGTCGTAAATCTTGAATTCTTTTAATATTGAAACATCGAATGCTATAAAAATCATGCGAACACTGTTAGAAATAATTATTATTAGCTGTGTTAATGAAAACCCTTTAGGTATTATTCAATATAGCTGGGAATAAATACGAAGATCGCGTAGCTGCATTCCTAGAAAGTGTATCGGCTAATCTATTCTTCCCGCGAGGGACAGAAATAACTTGATTTTCCGTCGGCCGAGTGGAAAATTGGTACGAAATTGCGGTGACTAGAAGCTTCTCACACGCTAAATTGATTCACACATCTAGGCATATTTATTATCCATGCACCTTTGACAATCGTGCTGGCAAAGGAACGTGAGCAAAAACACTGCACGAAGTTGAACGTACCCATGATGCGAGTTGACGACGACGGGCGCCGTGATAAAATCGTTTAGAACTCAATGGTGCCTTTTTTACGCCTCCCCTAACATATCTTACGATTTCGCCTCTCGTCTCTGTCTGCGACGCAGCCTTTCCTTCCCGGTAATTGTCTCTCATTATGAGCCATTAATAATTCATCGTCTGCTATCGTACATTAGGCGCGACTATGGTAGAACTCGTAACAAGTTACGAATTAAATTTTTTTCGTACGTTCACCCGCCCGAAAGAATGCGATCTTCGATCCCAGCGGCAAGAGACGATCAGCTATTTTTAAATCCGTTCCAAAATTAGCATTTAAATCTCCTTATGGCAGCTTAACATTTCTGCATTTTAATTACAATGTTTATCAAAAAATTTATTTTATCTCAAATGATTGCAGAGTCCATTTACGCTTTGAAGTATGTGATTCGTTTTCTATTTAACTATTGATCGTTTTAAATGTGGGCATCCGTAATCCATTAGCGAGGAAAATCTACTTGTGAAATTACCCGTAAAAACGGCATTGAAAATCTCGTCGTTTCAAGGTAACCCGGTGATTTCAACTGTTCGGCGTATGAGCCGTGCTCGAGCATGTACCGCGGAATAAAGAGGTCGCCGTAAATGCCCCGACGTTAATTTGCCAGGAGTTTTGTAGGACACGAACCGAAGTCGTGGCGAGGGACAGCCGGAGGAGCGGCTCTCTCACACAGTCACGTTCGACGAACACTAACAAGGATACACCTGCGGGCGTACGTACACCGACACGATCGCCGGACAACGCGTTTCGAACGGTTTCTCGCACCGGGTCGACGTCCTGCCAAAACTGCCTAATCGTGTCGTTTGGCAATCAGCTAACGCGTCCGGATTCATAAATAAAGAATCGAACACTTCTTCGATAGAATTATTCCTTTTCCTGAAGAATCGGTAGATTCGTGACTGGACTGCGTTGAATTTGAATAACCGGACATACGACATTGATTTCATTCTATCAAGATGCAGATATTGTCGTTTAATGATTAGGAGAAATTGTGATAATCGTTTGTCATTTGCAACACAAAGGAAATTGCCTAGAAACCTGCCTGTCACCTCGAACGGAATGCCATGGCCGTTTAGTGTCATTAATAGACAGAGTTTATGCATTTATAAAAAGAAAATGTATCTGCAGTAAATATAAATAATTTGCCATGTATAAAAGCTAACAATTTTCTGAAAAGGTAAAAAGCTCAACAAGTCTGAGGTGCTTAGCCTTTATACTTAATAAAACAATTTTATATCTCCTTATATATATTTATTATATCTATCTGCAAAAGATATAAATAATTGACGATGTATAAAATATCTCTAAAAGTAAGCTAACCATTTTATGAAAATGTAAAAAGCTGAATAAGTTTGAACTACTTAGTCCCTACGTTTAATAAAACAATTTTATATTTCCTTACATTATTTTACTCTATTAATCCATATTTCTACTTTATTATTTACCTAAACATCCTATTTACTACTGCCTTAAAAATATTTTTGCACTTCGCATGTGTGAAAATAATACCAAATATTTATGTTTGTCCTTACTATGCAATAAATTGAAAAAAGTATCTGCAGAAGATATAAATAATTTGCCATGTACAAAATATAAAAAGGTGAGATAGCAATATTTAAATGATGAAAGTAGTGTTTATTTAAAATGCACTTGGCATAAGAATCCGTAATCTAATTATTAAAAACGGAAACTTGATTTGCACCATGTGCACGACGTCAAGTTCCCCGTTAGTTCGTACACTAGTCCGTTCCGATTGCAATCGATTTGCCTTGATCGAGGCACACTTTTTGGGAAAAGTAAAAACCTCGCATTCCAACGGGTAACGTGTGTATGTATGTACACAGTTAACTTTCGAATTGCACTATGGGATAGGTGCTCCACGTCTCTCGAAAGCCGAGTGACGTCACTTCTGCACGCTTCCTTCATTCCACTGTCATGGACTTGACATTTAATTAATATCAGTTAGTAAGAACAATTCTGCTTGCATAAGCATTATTGCAAGTCTGTTACAGTACAGTTTATAATTTTGTAGGAACATTTCCACCTTCCGTCTTCGTTCTCTGCCAATGTTTTTGGGGGGTCGCGATCGACGATTCCGAGTCTGATCGTTCGGATTACGGTATCAGGTGGAATGCGCCACTAGGTGACAATGACGATACCGAAAAGGTAACGTAAGTATGCAGAGGAGCGGAGGAGCAGGGCCGATAGAGGCCATAGTCCGAGTCCGAGGCGGCAGGAAGCTGCCAAGTGTAACGGTATCGGTGGCTGACTGCTCCCTGCCGATGCGATATGCGCGCTCGCGTTGCCTTCACGCGTCGTCAACGATTTCACGTGCGGCCGACGCGACGTGTGAATATAGGTAAGTCAGCTTTTCACGCGGACGCCATTTTTCATCAGCCGACCTCTGCCCTTTTTTGTCAACCGTGCCACTGCAGGATTAGTTGTACAGTGAAACGTTCGAGGATATTAAAAAAAAAAAACATGAGTACAGAAGATAGAAAATTTGCAATGGAGGTCGGTTATAGCAAGAATGATTTATCGGAGATAAACTGTCTTGCGACAATGAAAATTGTGTCTCATAATACTTGCTAATAAGACTACCTCCATGACATAATATTTGCGAATATATTATACTTAATTTCGACATCATGAAACGTCCTTGTGAATCGAAGATTGAATTTAACACGAATAATTTTTGGTCCAATAATTTTCTCCACTTCAAAGGATATTAAACATTAATTATGGATTTCGAGTGAAAGCAGAAGCTTATAGAAAAATCCACGTAGGATGCGATTAATCATGCGTGCATACTTGAGCCTTGCAGCAATCACCTTCACCGATTGAAAACTCGTCGCAATAATTCAAACACTGTTCGTTACAAAGATCTTCAAGGGAAACTAAGATTAGAATTGCAAACTATGGAAATAAGAATTAAACAAGGAAATGAAAGTAGCAAGTTTGTTGAAACAGAATATTGCTACGAATTAAGGAAAAATGACAAACTAGTCATTTGATACTAATCAAACCACAGCGCTGGTTGAAACACGGAACACGGACGGTTCCTCTAGGGGCGTGGAAATGAAATGTTGCATGCTAATAACGCTTATTTCTGTAAAGCGTACGGCCGTTGGTGTACCCCATAGAAAACGAAATTATGTGTGTTCCTAGCAAAAAAAAAAACTGCTTGAAGGGAATTACCGAGGCGGGGAAGCCATTGAGCAACAAGCACGAGCGAAGGAGAATTTCATTTTCAAGTAATTTAACTTGGACTGCTGCACGTTTATGGTAATCGAGTGGAATGGGGCTCGAGGCGCATCAAGCAATTACTACAAATATAGCTGGATTTCAATATTGACCAAGTATCAATATAATTGAATCGATTTTTGATAGAACTTGTCATAAGTGTCTAAAGTATTCCCTCAGTAAGAATAAGATTTTAATAAAAAAATTCTTTTT